TCAGAAAAATTGGGAATCCAACGGCGATAATGAGCAAACATTCCCAGTTCTTGCTGTAGAGATCCTACATCTTTAGAAATCGGTAAATCCATCAGCAGCTTCAGTATATCAGGATCAGGTTTTTAATATTAGCTATAGAGTAGCCCAACAATTTTACAGATTTCATGGAAAATGTACATTTTTCCTCATTCAGGGTTAGGTTATACTTCTTAGCAGTAACCATAAATCTCTCCAAGTTATTATTATGCTATTATTTCATAAATTGTTCTTTGGAAAGAAGCAACTCCATTTGCTACACCAAATGGAACACATAGAAATTGATATAGTTTGCCATCAGCTTCAAACGCTGTATAGTGTTTCTCAGATAGGAACCTGGTGACAGGACTTCGGAGATTAATTATACTAAATATTTTATATTTTGATACTTGTGAAATCAGCTCTTCAATTTTGGGAAGAGGGTAAGCATCAAGCATAGTAAATTTGTTTACAGTTTGCGAATAATCTATAACCATTCTGGGTCTATGATGTTCTCCTTTCACAACAAAAGCTTGTTTAGGTCAAGGAGAATTACTTGGTTCAATTACACCTTCTTTAAGTAATTTACTTACTTCTGTAGATATGAATGTTTTATCCTCTTCAGTTTGGCGTTTTGACTTACTAAGAATTGTGATAACCTCGGATGAATGCATCTCTAATATACTCATTTTTATAATCTTCTGCAGTAACAGACTTCAATTCACAATCCTTGCTCAACTGGTTTAATATTTATAAATGTTCAAACTCACCCGTTTGCTGAAATCTAGATGCTAAACAGTGCCGGGCAAATATTTAATTTCTTTTAGTAATGTACAATGAATCTAGGACATTAATTGCATTACCACACGATTGTAAATCATTAATGTATTGACAAACACTTGCAGATACGAAATTACATAACAGCTGTAGTTTTCTTTCGTTAGTTGCCTCCTTCATTTGTGTGAGAAAATTTGAAAAAGTTCTTTTCCAGTGTTTCCATTTAGATTCTGCTCCAACACATGCAGGGTCAATATCAAATCTTTCTGGTTTCAAAGCGGTTTCCATTTTTGAAAATAATAATAATAATAATAATAATAATAATAATAATAGTAATAGTAATAAAATAAATAAAAATAAAATAAAATAAAAAAATAAAGTTAGTTTTGATTAAATTGTTGTAAATATAATAAACCACTTTTCTTAAGAAGCTGAAATGAAGCTTTAATCAACTAAAACTGCACATAAAACAGAACATCAAATGTTAAGTTGTAAGAACAATAGTTAAACTAAGAATGACTGTTGCCATTCCATGTAATATAATTTTAGTGCGGGCAATAATATTAAATATTATACCACATTAACCTGATATTGTTTTGGTAAAAATCATACCTTGTTTTGTTTCTGTTTATTCTTAAAGTGTCGTTAACATTTCTTGGATTTCCAAATCTCTATGCGAATATGCATTTACAACTTTTAAAACCTGAAAAACGCATGTGTGCGGTGTTATTGTATGCAATGATTTGCAGATGCTTTATTTTTTACACGATGATATTTTCCACGACAATATTTTTAAACTGCGAAGTTTTTGAGCTGCTTTATTTTCGACGACGATATTTTGTACCACGATGTTTTAGAGCTGCGATGTTTTCTCTTTGCTTTCTTTACTCTCACGATATTCTGTACCCCGACATTTTTGTTTTGCGTTGTTTTCTCTGCGACATTTTCGTCCGCAATGTTTTCGGCTGTAACAGGAAAAGAACCCAGCTGACCTCATATCACCAGGAACTACTGTTGCTAATTTAAGAAATTGCCAACTTTGGTGGCATGGACCACCCTGGCTTTTCAGGTTTTCAGAATGTTGACCCTCATAATGTAGACGGTAATTGAAGAAAATTTAGAATATAGGAAGAGATTTACTTGTGCCCAACAGTACAAATCTATCGTACGAGAGAAAGATGAATTATTTGATATTTCCAAGTACACCTTATTAAAATACTAAAAATAACAGCTTGGATTAAACGCTTCGTTTATAAAACTAGAAAACTTGCAAACTTGTTAGATGCTCCCACAGCTGAAGAGCTTAAAGAAGCAGAAGAATTCTGGATTCGTAGAATTCAAAGAATAGCATATAATTCGGAAATTTCGGCATTAGAAACTGATAAAAGCATATTTAAGAAGTCGTTCGTATATTCCTTTTCCCCGTTTTTAGACGATAAAGGAATTTTGCGGCTTGGAGGAAGATTACAATTCTCCGAGTTCAGCACCGAAGAAGGAAAACATCCTATCCTCTTGCCTCGAAATTCAAAATTAACAGAACTAATTATTGAAAGAGAATATGACAAGTTGATGCAGAGTGGAGCTACAGCCGCTTGGACGAGCCTTCGAAAAGAATACTGGATACCAAAATACGACAGCTTGTGAAGAAGACACTTAGAAACTGTCTTATTTGTAGAAAGTATACAGCAAAACCTGCTCAACAGATGACCGCACAGCTGCCAAAAGACATAATAATTGAGACTTCACCAATTCTTGTTTCTGAAGCCGACTTTGCTGGCACGATTTGGGTTAGATTAGCAACCGGAACTAATGAATCATACATAGTTTTTTCTTTTCACCCGTGCCGTTACCAGAGCCTTCATTTAGAGCTAGTCTCCAGTATGTCAACAGAAAATGTTTTGATGGCTTTAAGACGATTCGTATCAAGACCAGGATATTGTGACATAATTTATTCGGATAATGTCAAAACCTTTCAAAAGGTAAACCGAAAATTCGAGTATTTTCAAAAATACTGAAGGATTCTAAATTTCAAGATTTTATTGCCTGTAAAAAATGAGCTGGAAATTTATTGCAGAACGTACTGCATGGTGGGAAGGCTTTTACAAATGTTTAGTGAAGTCTGTGAAGGATTGTTTGAGAAAAATACTTGGCAAAGACCTATTAAATTTTGAAGAGTTGCCTACTGTTTTGACAGAAGTTGAATATGTCATAAATCAAAGACCCTTAACTTACAATGACTTAATAGATCCAGAGCCTCTCACACCAGCACACTTTCTCAACTTTGGTTGAAAAAATGATAATTATCCACTTCATTTTATCGATATGATTGTCAAGAATTCGAATTAAAGTTATCTGATGAAAAGACAAGTGCGACAAACAAGACTTTTAGAACGTCTCTGGAAAAGGTGGAAGGTACAATACCTACTTGACTTGCAACGACCCACCATTCAGATACTCCTTAGTAAAGAATTAAAAGTTGGAGATGTTCCTTTGGAAGAGTCTACAAAGTCCAAACTCTTATGGGAGCTTGGTGTGGTAGTAGAGTTATATAGAGGACGAGATCAACATGTTCGTTCTTGTTTAATTAAAACGTCCAAAGGACAAATTAAGAGATCCATTCAACTCTTATATCCTCTAGAAGTTCTGAACAAACATGAGAATTATAGACTGAACTATCGACTCCAACATTTAATGAGAACTTTTTGAACTTATTGATTAATCAGTAATTTCATGTCATTCTCATGTTTAATTGATTAATTTGTTTTATTTTATATTTTAGTAGACGTTCACGAAAATCTTTTTCTTTTTATAAAAAATTGGTGACAGTAAGTAATTTTGAGTATTTTCATTTTATTAGGCTAAACGGGACTCGCCGGTGAACAGAGCAGTTGCCCATTGCTCTGTGTTTCAATCACTATGCTGCCTGCACCATGCTATTCATACTCTCCTGTCTGTAGACGCGAGCGGGACGCAAACAGCCGGTCTTCTGGCAAACAACCCTATCTCATTCAGTCATTTGGAAACAGTCACCCTTGTTACATGGGATTTCTGTGGCTGCATGCAGACCCCAAGAGACCTGAGAAGCTGTAGCCCCTCTGTTACTCCTTGCTAAAATAGACAAATAGCGGTCTTCTCTAGCCGTCGTGGTTCTTGGACGAATCTTGCTTGGCTCCGTTTAGTCCACAAAATCAACAATTATGGCGGGGGTGGTGTAATGGTCTTGGCAGGCATTATGTTTGATGGCCGCACACCTTTCCGCATCTTTGACAGAGGTTCTGTGACTGGTGTGAGGTATAGATAGGGATGAAGTCTTGGAGCCTCATTTTCACCTTTTCCGGGGTGCAGTGGGCCCCGAGTTCATCTTATGGGATGATAACGCGAGACCCCATAGAGCTCTTCTGGTCAACGAATTTCTCGAGGGTGAGGATATTCGCCGGATGGAATTGCCAGCCAGGTCTCTAGACCTCAAACCTATAGGACATGTCTGGAACGCTCTGGGGAGGGCAATTGCAACTCGCAACCCCCCTCCGAGAACCATACAGGAACTGAAACAGCTTTGCTGAATGAGTGGGACCAATTGCCACAGGCACTGATAAACTGCCTTATTTTCAATATGGCATCAGGCTGTGAGGCCTGTATGGCTGTAAGAGGGGACCATACCCCCATTAACCCATTTCTTTTATGTCTTAGTGTTTTAATAAAGGAAAATGAATTGGTATTTCAGAGATATACTATGCTTACTTTTATCAGAATTCTACCATGCTTACAAAACGGTTAAGTGATGGAAAGATAACATGTTTTACAACATAACACAGAAAAAACAATTTAACAAAACACCATCTCATCAAACATTTTAATTTTATTATTACTGTTGGTACTTAGATGCTCCATAAATTGCTCATAATTGATAATGAAAGGAAAAAATATATTATAATTATTATTTTCAGTGATTAAAGTAGGAACATTATCACACAAAAAATAAATATATTGAAATTTCATACTTTATAAATTCTTTCTATACAATACTTCGAGATGGATCAAGTAATATTTAAAATCATTTCCTGTTATAAGGCACAATATTATTCATACAGAAAATGTATAAAAGTATGTATGCAAGTTAAGCATAATAATACATAAATAATACATGCACAAAATTTTATTTTAGAAAACACATCGAAAAATTTCTACATGTTTAATTTTTTACAAACCTGTGATCAGGAGACAATCCCATTCCAATAATGTGCCCATGTAGGTCAATAACATGATCGATTTTATCAAAGAAGTGCATGACACTTTGCTCATCAAGCCAGTTGGGAGAAATAGTAGGTGCGTGGTTTCTTTCTTGCCTCTCTGCAAGCCTCTGCATTAAGGTAGGTGTCTCGGTTACTCTTTCAGCAAATCTACGTATTTCAATATATATTCCAGTCATTACATCAAATTTAATACGTTATACCATTATTTATGCAAAATTCAAAGAAACTTAAAAATTATGAATCTTCAGCTCAATTTAAAACATTTTTCAAGTATATACTTTTAAAATATTTAAGAATTAAATTATTTACTAATATTCAAATAAAAATGTCTAGTATATAAGTCAGTTACATGCCTTTAGTTTAATTTAGAATTTATTTAACTTTCAGCACTTCATGCACGTTAGGGCTAAAGTGTTGGAGGTTAACCAACTTGTTATTCAAATAAAGTAAACCAACTCATAAGATTAAATATATTTAATGTTTTAGACCCATTTCAAATAAACTAACTGATAAAGAAATATCTAATGTTTTAGACACATTTTCCACAAAGAAACAATACTGGAATTAAGATATCAAACAAAATAGCAACAAATAAAAAAAGTACATTTTCATTTCTACGCACTTAAAAGGCTTGATTCTTTTAAAACCTATTTGATGAGGAGTGTACGTTAAGGAGCCAGTAGTAAAAATTAGGAACTTTTCTCTTGGATCAAGTATTTTCTCAATGCTTGTATCTTCTTCTAAACTATCTGCAGTTTCATGATCACTTTCTTCATCATCATTTCGTAAAGATGACATTAAATTATCTTCTCGTGCAACTGCAGTTCTACTCTTTCTAGAAACCCTGACATGGCGTATCTGTGAAGATTCATCCTCTAGAAAAATTAATTAATTAATAAAAAGTTAAAGAGTTTCAAACAAAATTTACTACAATAAACTCTCCTAATGATAAAAATAAATTAAATTAGTATGACTGACAAACTGACAATCACATGTCCCAAAAAATATATTTTCTAAAGTATGTATCAGTGATGGCCAAATTGCTAAGAGCCTCATTAAACATTTCATGGAAGTTTGAGAGCCGCGGCAGATTTTCCAAAAGCAGCAAATCCAATTTATATGGTTTAAAAAAATAATCAGACCGGATTTTGAATACAAAGAAACTTTTGAGATAAATTAATGAGAATTTTTCACTTTTTTAAAAATCAGTATGGTTAACAATAAATTTTTAAAAAAATCTTATTTCTCATACCCTAACAAAATATAAATCTGAAGCTACTGTAAGATGCAAATGAGCGTTTTTCTTTCAAATAGAAAACCAAGTATTTTCTTTTCTAGTTTCTTTTATTTTCCCCCTTTTATAATTGCATGGTTTTAAAATAAGTAAGCACTTAAGTGAACTAAATTACTACATTCAAACTGGATTACAAGTAAGATTTTGTTTTTTTCTAAGAGTAAAATATTCGAAGCTTCAGAAAAACTTTTAAATTCCACGAAACTTAAGAACACTTTTCATCATTTGAATCGTTTGAATTCTGACTTAAGAAATCAAACATTTTGGACATTTACCATTGATATCAAATATTCAAAGCCCCGGAATGACTTATTGATGTCCAGTACAGAATAAGTCATGAAAAAAGAAGAAGAATGCAAGTTCAGTGGTGTCTGGATCACTAGTATCATTCATCATGTCTCGAGTTCTGCACTGTTTCAATATGATAACCAGGAAAACTTGCCTGAATTTTTAAATAATCAGTATATTGCCTGTCATCGAACATTTTTGAAATTGCCTCAATAATTCAAAATATAGATAAAAAACTAAAACACAGTGGCGTAACAGCCCTAATGGGCCAAGGCCTGCAGTGCCCGAAATCTGCTTTATTGACCGTGGGCCCCAGGGTGCGTAAGCATATGCCCTGAACAAGAGGTCAACTCGTCGCAGGATGCCCCAGTGTTTATTTCCCAAGCGAAGTTGATACTCATTTTATCGACCCAAGTGATGGAAATCAAGGGATGAAAGGCTGACTCGGGCTGGGCGACCTTGCCCAGCCCGAGTATCGAGCCCTGGACCTGTGGTACTGCTGCGCGATGCGTTACCCACTGCACAACCGGGCCTACCTAAATATAATATGGGGACTGGAAAGTAATATCGTTTCTGCACATGTCGACAACAACATGCTAAGGGCAGAAGTGGAAGCAAATCCATGTCAAACACTCTTAACCAACCTTGGTCGACCATCCAAGAAAATTTAAAGCAGAATGGAAAAATAAGCAAAGCAGGTGTTTGAGTCCCCCAAAATCTGTCCGAAAAGAACAAAGCCAACCTATCTATCACATGCAACGTATTGCTTCAACGGCACCATACAGAACCGTGTTTTGATCGTTTGATTAGTGGAGACAAAAAAAAAAAAAAAAAATCCTATATGATAATCCAAAACTCAAAAGGCAGTTTTAATACGGGTTACAAAGGGTTTACATTCTGAAAAGGCGCTTCTGTGTGTTTGATTGAGTATTCGCGGAATTGTTCATTTTGAATTGCTGAAACCTGGAAAAACTGTTAACGTAGACCTTTATTGTGAACAATTGGATCTAGTGAACCAATCTTTAATCGAAAAATATCTGGCGATTGCCAACGGAAAAGGCGTCATTCTGCAACACGACAATGCAAGACCGCACTGTGCAAGACGAACACTGGAAAAATATAATGAAATGGGGTGGGAGGTACTACCTCACCCACCATATTCGCCCGATATCGCACCCTCGGATTTCCATTTATTCCAATCCCTACAACATTTTCTTTGTGACAAAAAATTTGAAAATTTGGATGATGTCCAAAATGCCATCTAGAGAGATTTTACTTAAAAACCAATTGATTTTTTTATCGGTGTGGGATTGAAATCGGCATACAAGATGGCAAAAGGTTGCTGATAACGAAGTGATTATATTATTGATTAAAAATAAAAACTTGTTACAAATTTATTCGTTTGAATTTAATGTAAGAAAGCGACATTACTTTCCGGTCGCTCTATTAGAAAACCTACCATTAATAAATCTAGCAGCTCTTGTAAAATATAAATGTTGTGCTGGGTACATATTCCAACTGTCTAAAATCAAATTGTGCAGTCATACCTGTGGATTTATGAGGAAATTAACGATACGAAAAGAAACACTTCTGGCTGCAGAAATTTAAATTAATGGTACAGAAAGAAAAAAATAATGAATTTAATTTAAATTTAATAATTAAATTTTAGCACGTAATGAATTTATTTCACAAATACAGATATAACATGAAAGTTTAACTCTCCAAATTTCTATGGATATGCACAGATGTCCGATGTAGAGGCTTTTGGCATAGCAGATGTCAACGCAATAGTTTAATTGCTGAATTTTTTTGCCACCCAGACAGGAAAGTGGTTAGTGACTCTGACTGCCGTATTGAAGGGCCCGGGTTCGAATCCCGGAGCAGGCATGAATGTAAATTGTCTGTCTCTTCATAGGAGGCAATGGTGGAGCCTGTTAGAAGCCCTCATAATAAAATGGCCACTGTTTCTAGCCTTGAATGCCCAAAGCCTAAAATGGATAGTACAGGCCCCACATACACACACACAAAAAAAAGGGCTGAATTTTTGTCACACAGGTGTAGGGACCCACCCCATTTTAATTGTTAACTGCTGGAGTCGTAAAGACAGTCAGATGCCATCGTGCCATCTTAAACTCAAATTCTGAAAGAATATTTTGTATTTTATGTCAGCCCAGTGGTTAAGTACAGAAAATAAATCTCTGTAGTTTCCTATAAAGTCAGAAGCTACAGTTCAAATAAAATTAAAATACTAGTTTAGAAGATAAAGTACACCTGCAAGCTTTAGCTCAGGCCCTAAAACTCTCATGAACAGTTACGGCTAGGAAAGCTACAGGCAGAATAACTACTATATTCGCTAGGAGGATGAACTCGGAAAATGATCCTTGCTACCAAAAACTATCTCTCCAACTCAAACACTTATATATTTAACTTATTTGCATTCTGGTCGAAACTGACAAAAGCAGAAGTGCAAGTAAAGACAAAAAACAAGATAACTTGTTATTAAACATAAAACTCTATACATAGCTTGATCAGCTGAGACAATATAATTTGATCGGTTCAGCCAACTGCTTGTATGACTGTTGCTTTACTTGTCGCAAATCTCGCTTGAAATGGAGATAAAACATATTTATGTTTTGGGTAACACCAAATAAAAAATCTGTAAGGTTGTGAGACGGAAAAACCTCTAAACACATTTCATTTGGTTTGGGCTGAGAAAATGCTTTCTGCTCCCCAAGCATAAAATTATATCTGCTCACTTTGCTACCTAAATGAAACTTCACTTCATCAGCGAATATGAGTTTCCCCACCAAACTATCCTCTTGCAGCAAATCTATGCCGAACTCTCCGTTTAAACTCGCCAGTAATTTTTAGTGCCTGTAATACATCAAATTTTAAGATTTGAACTATGAAATTTTGTGCAATCATACCGAATTTTATAAAACAAATTCATAATCAAAATCGCTGTTGTTAGTTATCGAAAAATAACTGTTGTTAGTTAAGATGTGATTTTTGCGTAAATGTCACTAAACTATACAAATCCATCACACTATGAATGTTTCTTTCATGCGAAAGTGTCCCTTTTTCGATTTGTATGAAACTGTCGTGTGTCGAAATACTATCAGAACACTGTCAAGCGAGCTTCTGGATGTAAACAAAGAACACCCCATCTGGTGACCGAAGCTTCGAAGCAGTGCTTCACTTCTAGTGCCGGTTGGCCACTCCTTCCTTTCTTACCTCCATGGTGTGGATTAGTGGGAGTGGAGAGAGGTGGGAGGCCCCCCCCGGATCCTTTCCCCCCGGGTACTCTTCCTCAAAACTGGGGAAGTCCAATCTCTCTTCGGAGTAGGCTCTGGCAAACTTTGTTTCGTGTAATATGGACAAGACAACAACAACAACGGAGCCTCTAGAATGCATGGCAACTTCTGGAACATTTTGCCTTAGCCAGCAACAGGCAATAACTGAGTGGACCTTTTTTATCCTGTATTTTCTTTGCTAGTTTATATTGTTGCGTGCGTATGGGTTCGTAATAGATTGAATGCACAATCCGACAATAGGCTAATAAAATGTATTCTTATCAAAAGAAATATAACAGAATGCTGGAATTTTCCCCAGAGATATTCGTACAAGTGTTCAAAATACCACGCAATATAATCAGTAGTTATCCTTTAAACTTATAAAAACGTTATAATATAATGCTGGAATTTTCTTCAGAGATATTCGTACATGTGTTCAAAATATCACGCAATATAATAAGTAGTTATCCTTTAAACTAATAAAAACGTTATAATACAACGCAATGCAAAGAGAAAGCTAATCCGATCTGAACTCGCAAAAATAACAACAGCAGCTAACTAAACAACTGAGCTGATATGTTCTTTGTCTGGCTTTTTATAGCTTTAAATCGGTCGCGAGAAATACTACTAAATTTGTTTCTCCAGATTTCTGGAAAGCAAAAAAGTAGAATTACGATTACAGCTAACGTAGTAGTCAATTATATTTATTCAAATTAAATATAAATTATCGAGATAAACTTTTATTCAATGTTAAATGCACGTGCTTCTGTATTTTTACTTTTCCGGCATAGAACTCTTAAAACTCACGCTGCACTGCACAGGAAATAAAACAAGTTTAATTATACTTCTACTAACATTAACTATCTAAATACAAAATTCGGAAAATTATATGGTTGAAAATGACAATATAGCTAAAAATTCTGCTTTTGCAGGCAAAACCTCTGAGGTACACCTTTCTTCTCAAAACAAGGAATGAATGGATGCAGCTGTTGGTGGTAGA